AGCTGGAGCTGAAGGACCGGGTGGGAGGTTCCCAGCTCGCCCACGACCCCCGAAGAGCTGAGCCCGGCCGGGCCTGGGCTGCGCTGTGGCTCGCAAGGTGTGGCACCGGTCGGCCTGTGCGCCCTGAACCAGACTCTGAACAGAATCGGCTTCGATGAACAGGCCCCCAGATAACCAAGTTCCTGCCAGGTCGGGAACTGTTCACGCGGGCCCGGGCGCCTGCGTCTGTGGCTCCCTTGGCCCACAGGCGGGCGTGCCCCTGCCCGGCGCCTTGCTGTGACCATCGCCCGCTTTGCCCGCAGGGAGCTGCAGGAGGAGTGCGGTCTGACCGCGGACACACTCCACAAGGTGGGCCGGATCGTGTTCGAGTTCGTGGGCGAGCCGGAACTGATGGACGTGCACATCTTCCGCACAGACAGTGTCCAGGGGACGCCCGCGGAGAGCGACGGTGAGTCTCGGGGCCTCCCCTTCTCCCTTCCCTCCGTCTCCCGGGGCAGGCGCTGCGCCAGCCCCTCGCGTCAGCCTCGTTCCTCCTCCCTCTTGCGCGGAGTGACACCGGGACACGGCCCGAGGGTTGAACTAGGAGCCTGCCGAGCTCCTCACACGACACTGCCTGGCACTTTCTCACCAAAAGTCAGTTTAGCTCCCGGCTGAACACCATGTCCCCCTTTGCACCACCACAGAAATGCGGCCCCGGTGGTTCCAGCTGGACCGGATCCCCTTTGGTGACATGTGGCCCGATGACAGCTACTGGTTTCCCCTCCTGCTTCAGAACAAGAAATTCCACGGGTATTTCAAGTTCCAGGGCCCCAACACCATCCTGGACTACACGCTCCGTGAGGTGGACGAGGTGTAGACACAGAACCACGCTGGCCCCGCAGGCCGCCGAATCCGCTGCGAACCCGCAGTGCCGTCCATCTGTTCACCTGCTCTCGGAGCCCCGAGGCGGGACGGGGGGTTCCAGGTGGGGTGAGATGGAGAGAAGAAAGCTCTCTTACCTTTTCACGTTCTTCACGGGGCCCCACGCACACCAGCCCAGGCCCGTCCTCAGGAAGCTGCCTGCCTGCCGGCTGCCTATGGCCTGCACACTGGGCCCAGAGGGCGGGCTGGGCGCTGCGGTCTTGTCAGGACCATAGAGTGGGTTAGAGGGTGTGGCGTCCTTGCCCCCCGCCCCTCCTTCAAGGGCAAACCCAACAGGCGAGGCCCAGGCCTAAAACCCTGGTCTGATGCATCAGAAGCCGTCACCTCCCTCACCCCAAGGGACTGGCTGTTCCTGTCCAGACTTCTGACCGCCAGGAAGGAGGGAGGCAGCACTCGCTTATACGGAGAACCCACTTCACCCAAGTTTTATAAAGGGGTTTGATCACAGTTGTTCGTGTGTTTATTGATAAAGCTCTCAGAATGCAAACCGTGTGTGAACGATTCCAGTTTATTGGCGTAGTAATCGATGCCTACAGCCTTGTAAAGTGCTCCATACACAGAACTGCATCACGAAGAGAAGAAGGGTCTCGGATGCCGACAAAACCAGCCGACCTCAACCTGTGCAGAGTCCCGCACGTGCCCGGATCTGATGCCACGAGCAAGCTGGGCCCAGGCTGGAGGGACCTGGCGAAGGCACACACTGGAGCCGGGCTCCATTCCGGCCTCGCAGTCGGGATCGGGCTCTGTCCCCGTGGCACCGGGACGTCGCAGACCGTGGGAGACAAGGCAAGGCTGTGGTCTCCCTCCCGCAGTCCCAGCCTGGAGACTAGGGCCACGGAGGCAAGCTGGGACGCCCCTGCGCTCCCTGACCCAGAGCAGCTGGCAGCCTGGCCCTCCCCAGAGCGGCCCTGGCCCTGGGCCCAGAGGGAGGCTTTGTGGGGGGCAAAAGGTGGCCCCTGCTGTCCCCAGCTGACAAGCACAGGAAGGACGTGACCCCCACGCACACAGCCCAGCAAGTGTCTCCCATCTGCCAGCCTCCTTGCAGGGGCTGGGGAGGGCGGGGATGCACAAGAAAGCGCCCTCTGGGTAAGCCTCGAAAACCCTGGCCCCTGGCCGGAACTCCAGCCAAGAAGGGCTCCTGGCTCCTCCCACCGCACGGAGAGGCCGCCAGGAACACGGAGTCTCAGGAAAAGTCCTCTTGAGAAAGCACAAGTGAAGTCTTTGGTGCTGGAATTCTCCTCAGTGACCCGGGAGAGGCGGGCCTCCGCGTGCCCTGGGAGACCCTCTCCGCGCCGGCCCTCCCACCTTCCGTGCTGCTGCCCACCGTGAGCCCCCAGCCCCCACTGCGTGCGTGGTGGGGTCTGCTCTGGGTGTCTTCCCAGCTCGCCAGTGTCCTGTGGTCGCCTGTCCCGCACCACCCACAGGCAGGCCGTGGCGCGCGGGCAGCAGCCGACAGGGAACGGGAGGCTCGGAGGTCAGCCCTACGGCTCAAGTGTACACAGCGCCCGTGGGGCAGCCCTGTGGGGCAGCGCAGATCCACTCAGTGCCCGAGAACCAGCTTCTCCGAAGGGGAGCAGAACGCACGCACGGCCCAGTGATCGAACGGGCCCCCGCTTGCTGGGCTCTGGGGGTACGCTGCCCTTCATCAGCCAAGGAAGGCATGTGCCGCAGTCCCAGGGCCTCGGGCTGCGTGGGGTGCAGCTGGCTTTCTCCCCGCACAGGAGAACCCACACGTGGGGTGACGCAGGTGTCTGGCTGGGCCTAAAAGATACTTCCCCGACCCCCGCCCCGGGCAGTGATGTGCAAGAGCACCCCAGGACGGGTGCGGGAGTCCTGCGTGCTGTGTGGGGACACACAGGTGGGAAGTCCCACCTGCCTTCAGATCCAGAGAAAGCCCCCTGGAGCACAGGCATCTGCACCCCGGGAAGGCGAGACCCTCGACTCCTGGCGTGCAGTCGGACCCTCCCACAACACAGATCCACCGACACCGCTCTGGCCAGGGGGGCAGTGAGCTCAAAGTGTTCCCGGCCTGGGAGGAAGGTGCCCTGCTGGTCTTTACACAAGAGGGATTCAGAGCAGGAAGCGCTCGGAGGCCCCAGGCGCACACTGACCCCAGAGTTCCCAGAACAGATCCCCTCCGGGCCTGCCTGGAATGAGGAGGGAGGCTCGGAATGCCTCCCAAAATGGGG